TAAATAAATAAATGATAGAATAAGAGAAATAGGTTGCGTGGAGAATATGCGAAGTTATAAATATAAGACGGTCAAGGCTAAACTTTGCTTCACAATAATCTATGAAGAAATTTATAAGCGAGGGCCAATATAACAATTAAAAAGAACGGTCGTCAATATTTTTTCCGAATGTTTGATTCTAAGTTAACGTTCAGGCGTAAATAAAAAATTTTGTTGGCAAGAATGCGCAAATTTCTACAGGAAATGAGATAACAGATGGTGAAATTGTGAAAGAACATAACAAAAAATACGGAGCCTTTTTCGGAAAAGTTATTAGGATCACAAATTAAAATATATCTTAATATACTAACAACAAAAATGATATGATGAACATGATAACAAATCATAAGTTAGAAAAAGGATTACAATTGAAAAGTCAAGATGAACTTATAGGAAAAGACGGTAATTTCAGGTCTCAGAGGATCCACAAGACGAAGCTGAACAACAAGGTATCAGACAAGTCAAAGGACGAACAAACTCACGATACAAGGAATAGTCTACTAGATCTAAAGGAACTTGGAAATGACAAGGTTACAAATTTTAATAAATTGAACGAGGTTTTTAGCGATAGAATAAATAAAATTAATGATAATCAAAGGTAACAACGGGTAAGGTATTAAAAAAAAAGAAAGATGGAGAGATTATAAATGAAAATAAAAACGTGTTGCGTCTGATCGATTGTGAGAGTGATAGTAGTGAATAAAAATTTTAATATGGTAGATTTAGATTTGTATTATTTATTTCATGGGGAGTTGGAAATAATAGGGTTTTTTTCCCGAAGGGAAAAAAGCCCTATTGTTTTCCTTCCCAGGAAATAAATGGGTAATCCCCTGGAGCGTGTCACTCATTAAATATTAACTATTTCAACTATTTTAAACTAAAATTAGTAATTTTCCGGCTATATATATGAGACCGGGAAATAACTAAATAGCTTAGGTCTTTTATAATATAGAATATAGATTCAAATTTGTATTAGATAGATACTTTATTAACACAATGCATGATTTTGGGGTTGATTACTTTTGTAATTTTCTCTAAAACTAAATAAAGAAAAAAATAAATAATTACTTTTGTTTACTGTCTCAATCGTAAAAAACCATTGTCAATTTGCGAAATCTTTTTGTTTTGCCCTCATCCCTATAAAAAATGACCCTCCAGAATATTTCCGGTATAACTCCATGGGTTCCGTAAATATTCAGTGAATTTTTTCGGAATAATAACCGGTTGAATAACAATCCGGATTCTCTCAGTAATTTCAGCAATATAAATACGGAATTATCAGATTTCTAAAAATAACTGATAATTTGCTGATAATTAACTATGATAAAAAATGGAAAAAATATGAATATATCTAAATAAAAAAGCAAATAAAAAATTCACTAGGGATAACAGTCAGTGACGCCTTGGATCTGTAATCCTAGTTTTTTATTATGTAATACAACGCCGTAACGAACTATAATTTATAAATAAAGTTTTATTTAAAAAAAATATATTATTAAGAAAATTAATACAATAGTAGTATTAAATATTGGCTTTATTATTAAATATTAAACTATTTATACTTTCAAATTAATAAGACGCGTATATACTTTTCAAAAGTTTATAAATATATAAACTTTGTTTATTTATTATAAATACAACTCAAACTTTTATCTAATTAAACATTCAACTCTTAAAAGAAATTTTTAAAATATTTATTGTCAAAGAAAAGAAAAGATGTCACAAAGTACTAATCACACTATTGATATTTGTGAACTTAGTTATGAACAGCGCAAACAACTCTTTGCTTAAGAATTAATAATTTTATGTAATTATTATTACAGAATGATTTACTCGTGGTGAGTGTATAAATTCATATTTTTAGTGAAGGTATAAAAATGAGTATAAAAATAAATAATCTTCATTATTTTATTACGGTTCAAAGACACAAACCTTACATTACCAGTTTCTGAATCTAACTTTATATTTCGTGAATGGCTTGCTTTGTATTGTAATAATACAGGTTTGTGCTCTATTATATAACTTTTTGTATTTTTTTAAAACAACTTTTACTTAATTTTATTATTGTTGACCAAGCCAAAAAAAGAAAATCGCTGGTGCAAAAGAATATGGCCTTCCACTACCACAGCAAAAAAAAAAAAAAATCAAACCACCTAATAATAAGAAGTGTAACATGAGTGATTCTACTGGCAGCTTGCAAGCTTCTGGAAGTACTTCAAGTATTATTTTTATAATTATTCCATAGTAATTAATATTAACATTTTAAATAATATAAACACTATTATTTTTTATTTTCAAAAGCAACAACTTCTATCTCCAAAGCTAATGCGCTAGATACTGAGGCTCTACCATCTTCCACTCCAGGCGAAGTTAATACTTCTGAAACTAAGGCCAATTCTCTCCATATTACACCTGTTATGGATAAAATTGCAGAAACTTCTAGTAAGGCAGTAATTTCATTTTTTTCAAATAAATATAATTATATTTATTATGCTTTCCAATTTTATAGGTAAAAAAGAAAAAGAAATCTTCCTCACAAATCCAAGTAAAACTACAAAATCTTCATGAATAACAAGGTCTGTTGGCAAGAAAACTAATTAGTAACATAAAGGAGAAATCCTAGAATTGTATCTTGGAAATTTATCCGAAATTTATCCATTTTACGCAATAAATTATTCTATGAATTAAGTTTTTTATTAGTTTATTATCAGTGTTATTAATTAAATCTATTCAATAAATTTTCAGTTTTTTTACAGGTAATTTCAGTAAAATTTCCATATAAATGCCGCAAATATGAGACCTTTACTGAATAAACACGGAATTGTCTATTTAATAATATAAACGGAATAAAAACGGAATCAAACGGATCAAAATTTTTATAGGGCATATATGATTTATAAAATAGTCCAATTCTTTCTTCTATTCAGTTGCAGTCAATATAATTTTTTTTTAAAAAAACCGTAACGCGTTTATTATTTATGAACAAGTCAAAAGATATAGTTACATAAAGCTATAAACACCTAGAAAAAAGCAGACAAGACCTACTTTCCTCTATAACTGAGTCCAATCTAGTCTAAAAAACTATGACAAATCTAAAAATTAATAATTGTTAATTTTAAAATCTATCTATTGTGTATGTTGCAGTCAATTTAACATTTTGGTGCTTCTGGTTTATTTATTTCAGGTCTAATTCCCCTACAGATTTCAAATGCTAATATTTCATCATGTGCAAATTTGTCAAAAGGTTATCTTCCAGTTACTAAAAAATACATCTCTGCTAAATCCATATCTGAATTACAAAATATATAACTACCATAATATAAAAACTAATAGTTGCCAATATATTTCCTGTATGAAAATCACGATGAACCTTGATGAATATTTATTTTTAAGACCAATAATAATAATGTTTAATAATGCATCAAGATTATATGACCAATCAAGTTTATTATAATGCTTATTTATCCAATAACATACTATATTTCCACCTCTTGCACAATCAAGAACATAATATAATCTATCCTTCCATATTGCTGAATAAATTGTAGCAAACCCACCTTCATCTATTTTTTTAATATTTTTAAATTGGTTATAATGTAAAATATTATATCATTCGGTTCATTAAGTTTTTAATTGCATTTCTTAAATTATCAATTTTTCATTTCCAATTGTCCATTTTGTAAAATTTAGTTTTAAATTGTTTACCTGAACATTCTAACACCATTTATATATTACACGAACAGATTTCACCACACTTTTTACAATATGATGAAAAATAATGATATAAGAATTTGTATCTGGATCTTGAGATGTTTCATATATCGATACTAAATTTTGCTAAATATTTATTAACCTATAAAATAAAAAAAAAACAACCTTTTTATTTGAATTTCTTGTCCATTTTTTATTATAACCAAATAAATAATGGACTATTTTCCATCTTGCTAAATATATCGTAACAAAATCATCGCTTATTTTTTGAATATCCTTTATTTTTATATTTATCGAAAATATAATTATGACAAACTACACATATTTCAAAAATATCCACAAATTCGCATTCAACAACAGATGATGCGAAATAACTTCCTGATGAAGAAAAAACTTTTTTAGATAAAAAAATTTTTCGTTCAGAAATAAACATTATTAACTCTTTTTAATAATATTGTTGTAAAAAATCATATTTCTCTCAACTAGTTGGAAAAAATCCAAGAAGAAATTGGCGACTTCCAAAAACATTATGAAGAAACTTCAAAAACGTCATGATGTGACTGTGCGGGCACTTAACAAATAAGCCACTTTAATAACCTTAAATATAAGACTATACAACCTGAACTGTATATACAACTTCTTTCCGCTTATGTCAACTTCGTAATAAAATGTCTATACGTCCATACACGAATATTTTTAATCGCAAACAGTGTCATTGGTTTTTTAAACGAAAGTAAAGAAAAGCGGATCGAACAACTCTTCTAACACAGAGCCATCTATGGAGGAGCAGTTACAACAAACATTTTTGCATTCCTCTTTCTACTACTATAAGAAAACGGAACTTAGTTGGACGCTAATGAAAAATGCTTAGAAAAATAAATTTTATCCAATAGTATGTAATTAGATTCATCCTATTAGTAGAAGTCTGAGCTAAAACGCTAAGATGGGCCTTTTTTTCGAATGTCTTCAAAGATTTGTTCTAGAAAATAAATAGATAGACACCTGCCTAAGAGATTTTTGAAATTAATATTTTAATAAATTAATATTTTAATAACTGTCGAGTACTGGTTACTGCATTAGCGACTCCTAATGAAATGGAAATTTTATTATTTAAACCGAAAATTAACTTTTTCGATTATTAAATTATTTATGATTAACGTGGTAAAGGATTATTAAAATCTCGCATGTTCATTTATAATTTTTAACAAATATTTCTGTTAAAATAAAGAAATATTGAATTTTTATTAAGAAAACATCTAAATTAAGACATGATAAGTTTTTGTGTAAAAGCAAATTTTTTTTTTTTAAAAAATAAATAAACAAAAAATAATTGTAACTATAAATATTATCTAGAGTCCGTCTCTTTTAACTCTTTTATCAAATTTTTTCACCATATAAAAACTTTCCAATGCGTTTGACGGTGTTATCATAAGCACCACCCCTACTTAATGCCCTAGTTGCCGCATAACCATGCATATTAGCATCATCTACCACGAATTCTGTTTTTATATTATTTTGTTGTAATTTTCCAATAAATGCTGTAACATCATCCAAAAAAATGTCAAAACTTCCAACGCAAGCAAATACTTTCGGTAAACCCAAAAGTTGACTTTCAAATAATGGAGAAATCATTGGACAAGATGGAAGAAGATTTGAGTCGCCAATATATAAATTTGTGCTATTGTTGAACCAGGTAACATCTGTGATGTCATTCGAAGCATTGTCGATGAATGATCGAGTATTTCCTAGTCCCTGAAAACCCCAAAAAGAATTATAAAATGAATAATTAGCAAGAATACTACGTATAAAAACTATAAAATCATAAATTACTTACGGATACTGTAGGAGAAAGTAAAATAAGAGCAGCAGGAGGATCGGTATATGCTTGATTTATAAGATGTATTGCGCTAATTATAGCCAAATTTCCGCCTGAACTATCACCAGCTAAAAAAAAAAAAAAAAAAAAATATTTTTGAATAAAATTAATTTAGATTAAAATATTAATTTAAATAAATTATCAAAATATGTACCAAAAGCAATTTTGGATGGGCTAATTTTCTTTTCATTAATAAGCCATTGATAACACTCCAACATATTATCTCTAGCAGCTGGGAATGGATGCTCAGGCGCCAATACTATAAAATTAAAATTTCGATATTCGTTATAGATTATACATTCAAAAACATAATACGTTAATATTTAATTAACTTACGATAATCTAGTGATAAGATTTGTGTTCTAACGCCATAACTCAATTTCCATGCTTTAATCCAATCGATGTATGTATCTAAGAGAAATAAAGCGTCACCGAAAACGAAGCCACCACCTATTTCGTTCAAAACAAATTAATATTATTGAAAAATTTTTTACTTTTTTCGATTCTTTACTTACCATGAGCGTATAAAATAATCATATCAGCATCCTTTCCAATTTCTGCACGATCAACACCATCAGCAATTAAATATCCTTCCCATCCATCTTCTTCGTTACTCGTATTCAATTTCTTTACCCAATGATTTTGTCTTCCACGAGTGAATTTTTCAGATCCACTAAATAATTTTCTTAATAGCCATAGTGGTAAGTATAACTCAAAGGTTTTAAGGATGGTCGCTGTTATACGTTGATATAAGGATGGTGTCAAACATTCTTTATCAAAGAATAAAGACGTGAAATATGCAAGAATTGCTAGTGGAATCTTAAATGCTAAAATAATACATATATAGAGTTGATTTAATTAATATCTCAGGAATAAATAATTTCTTATCGACATTTTTATACTTTACCCAAGACTAAGGTACACAAAAGTACAGATAAAATGAAATCCATTTTTGATATTGATAAAAATAAATGAAATTAATCGGTGTTTATATTAAATGTTTTTAAAAAATTATGCTGCGCATCACATGAAAAATTTAATTCAAAAATGTGAAATCCGCATGCGAAAAATTTGTTTGAAAGTGATCTGCATAGGCACTTTTCCCATATTAATTAGCGTCAAAATTTTTTCTTGTGACTTCATCGTGACTTTTTCTTTTTTTTTTTTTAAGTAAATTTATTTTATTCGTTAAAATCATGGTAATAGAATGGGGAAATTGTATTTTAACGCACCCTGCACAAAATGCATCTCGACTACTGTTGACAGCAGGAGTTTAGGTTAAGTTAGGTTAGCATTTTGTACGTCATATCCTTTCTATGTCCCTATTTTTAGTATCACTAATAATAAAAATCTCCGTTAAATAACATCCCTGCATTTTACGTGGAATGCATCGAAGATAAAAACCCTTAAAAAATATTTTTATTTATTGCAATTAATACAATTAATTCAATCAACCCAATTTAGGACGATTATCCTCCACTTTTGAAGTTGAATTATTATTAATACCCCACTTTATTATAGTCGAAGACATACAAAATACAGTAATAAATCATGTTGATAGTGACTTTGAAGGAGAAAATAATCACCCCTTAAATTTTATATTCTCGTAACGTCAAATTCTTTAAAATTATTGAAATAATATGAAATATGTAATTTTTTTCGTAAAACTTTTATAAATCACGAGATATTTCAATTTATGTATAGAATCACGTGAAAGTTGAGTTAAAAATTTATTTCGTCGGGAGTTAGTTAAGCGTTGGGACTGGTTGAAAAATAAAAATGTTTAAACGATTGCATTGCATAAATATTGTTCATTCCTTGTTGAGAAAAACTCGGGAAAATTTGGTAATAACTTAATCGTGTTCTGTCGTTACTCGTTAGTTTTCACCTTATTCTGAGCTTTAACGAGTTTTACCGAATGTACTGTACCTATCCCGTATTTGATGCAAAATTTGAGTCGGGTCATTAACCCGGGTAAACTCAGCCCGTACGAATTACAATAAGACAACATTTTTCTATTATTTCTATTATAGATGTAAAGCCCATTTAAAATTTAGACAAATAACAAGTGCGTACATGAAGCATTATTGTTCCGAACATGCGCAAAAAACCCGAGAAAAAAAATTATTTTTATGCAATCAATTTCAATGATTAATACCGCAAAAAATTTGTATAATATTCTTTGTTTTAATCTTTATTTCGAGACAAAAATCTAAATGTATTAAACATATGCTTGTACATAAAATGATCGCCGCTATGAATGGCTGCGCCATAATTAATTAATGAACGGACGTTAATTTTTTTTGCAAAATAAAAAACAAACTTTATATACAGGTGAAGATCATGCGATGATAAATAAATTATTAGAAAAGAATTTTACGATATAATATTGGAATGGATACACTATTGATCAATTTTTTGATATTAAAGAAATAAGAAAAGATGATTTAGGTGATTTATCACAATTTTACAGAAATACGGTAAACTGGTTCGTTATATTATAATAAAAGGAATTAATGAGAAATTCTTACTTTATTTTGTATAACTCAAAAATCTATAAGTTCACTGTTGAAATATACTTTATTAAAACAAATATATTATTCCTAAATTATGAATTTAAAGTAAATATCACAAAAGATTATTTGTTTGTAGTTCTTCACGCTGTGAAAAATCTGTATGATTTGCATAATTCGCAAAATATTTTAATCCGTTTAACGGAAAATGTTTCACTTATCAAAATGACGCAACTGATCTACATCATTTGAGATTAGTGCTGGTCAACGTGATAATTCTGGCCTATATTATATTAAAATTAAAATGATGCCAACTAAAATGAAGTAAATCCCGCTTTAAATGGCAGGTCATTTCCGAGCACTTATTCAATAAAAGTAATATTCTTAAAAAAGTCATCTTAGTTGCATACAGAGCTATTTAAGCTAAGATGGTTCGTTCATACACGCGTATAGAAAAATTATCAACCGACAGTGCACAAATGGGATCTTTTAGGATGACGGATGGTGTATAGATTAATAATATTAGATAGTCGTCCCGTAATTTAGTTACTTACAAATTGTAACATATAAACTTTCTAAGAACAACGTTTTTTTTCCGCAACACATGTTAAAATTAAAAGTGGAAATTTTGGTGATTGGATAAAAAATTATTAATAACTTTAATTTAATTAGTCGTACAAAATAGAATTATTATTAAATTATTAATAGAGTCCTTAAGGAAAATTCATCAAGAACGGATGGTTTACCTTGATTTACATACAGTCATACAGGAAATAAATTAAAATTATAATATGTAGTCCTTGAACTCTTGAAGTAATAAGAGATGACGATAAACAAGCAGCTGATACATAATTTATGATTATTACGTATTTAATAATAATTGACCTTTTCTAATACTCACATGATGAATCCTAAATATCACTACAAATACAGTCAAACCTCTATATACCGATACAGCTTTTTTTAGAAAAAAATATCGGTATATCAAAATATCGGTACTTGTAATTCGTTAGCAAATTATAATGCGGGCCAAAATCTAGGTATATGTTGTTATACTTTACTATAAATGGACAAAGGAATTGTATCGATATATGTTATATTGTGAAATTATGTTATAATGAGGTTTTTTTATTAGTTGCGAAACGGGAAAAAGGAAATTCATCGGTATATGTCAATTATCGGTATATAAACTATCGGTATATCGAGGTTATTATGTTGATTTAAATAAAAAATGTTGTGATTCATGATTCAAGTCCAGATAATAGACCAAATGTTATTTGACTATTGATCTTCGAAAGGAACATTATGAAATTAAAAAAAATATTCCAGAGAAGCGGAAAAATATAGAAATTTACATTACATTTTGTAAGAAACAGAAACTTATTTATACGCCTTGACCGCTTAATACAATTTACGATTTTATGCTAAATAAAAGTTCTTTTACGCATAATATTACTTGTATGAATTTTTAATTGCAATTTAATATAATAATAATAAACATTTATTCTTGATACATGTATTAATTGTATTATTGTAGTTTCTACTATTACAAATAGAAATTAATTTATAATAATTACCTAACGCCTTCTCTTGATTCATTGTGCGCAATGGTCTTTTATTTTCTTGTGAAACCTTAATAAAACAATATATTTACAAGATCATATATAATTAAACTCTTAGATTTATTATAATATAGTAGTTGAAACAATAAGAAATGTAAATTCAAGTGGATCGCGATCAACCTTTGGATATGAAAATTCCCCTATGTTACATTAGAAATAACATATAGGACTGATCATCAAGGATTTAAGTTTCAATTCAATAATATAAATTCATATTTGTAAGTAGGTTATTATGATTCCGGATAAATTTCCTAGAACTTTACCGAATAAAGTCTTATTTAACACGATTCATTATTACTCAAAGCCATTATATAATCGTTAAGAGAACCCTCTTTCCATATTTAGTCAATTAGTATGACTATCAAAAGTAAAAACTCCGGAATTTAACCGAAAACTAATTAATCTATGGAAAATTCTCGGATCTATCGGGTAAATTTTGATTGTTCCAATGGGAACATTTCAGGGGCTTTTCGACACAAAAATAAATATAAATAAATAAGAAAAAAAAAAATTTTTTTTTTTCAATATTGAAGATTCAAAGAAATCGTTACATTTCACTAAATATACATTTTTTAATATGAAGTATCATTCGTTGACTAAACGATTATTCTCGAAGAAATTTTTACACTTCATTATTCTTTGCAATTTATTTTTCAATGTGGTCATCGGTGCAGATCCTATTCCATCAGCTGCGCCTCCAATAAGTGGTTGGATTCCAAGAGAAATGAATCTTGATCGTACTGAAATTCCGAAAAATATATTGGTGGTGGTTCCAGTTGGAGGTAAATTATTGTTTTTAATCACGAAATTTAAATTCATTATTTCTAAAATTACGTTAAATTTAATTATAGGATTGAGTCATCTTCGACACATTTTAACAATTTCAAATATCTTGGCCGATCGTGGATACAATGTAAGTAAAACTTTGGAAATTCCGAAAGATACTTTTAATTTTTTATTAAAAAAAAAACTTTCTCTATTCTTTTTCTCATCTTCGCAAATAGGTTACGTTAACGACGAAAGGAACATTTAAACTATCACAACAATATCCAAAAATTAATTTTATTTCACTCGGAGAAGTAACCGATTTCTTAAATAATCCAGAATTCGTAGATTTAGTTCAAGGAAAATTTAACATAGGAAAGCTTCAAAACATATTTAAAAAACGGTTCGATTCTTATAATAGTACATTTTTACAACTTAAGGTAATTTCTGAGATAGTTAAACCGGATTTATTTTTCTGTGATACTTTAAATAACGAACCGTGTTTTGACATGGCTTGGGTAAAAAATAAACCTTTCGTTGGAATTGCAACTAGTGTCTTAGGTAAGTTAAATTTTTTTTTTATTCCTTTTTATTTTAATAAAAAGTATAAGATACATGTAAGAATTTCATATATTTTAGGATTGTCACGTGTCCCTTATAAATCAGATCCTTTATTTGAATGTAAAGTTAGCATGGAAAATGAATCATTTTGGGAAAGATTTAGATGTGAAATTATTTCACCACTTAAGTTCATATGGACATTAAGAAATTCTTTTGGCGAATTTAATGAAGTAAGAGCTAGTTATGGTTTACCAACATTAAAAAATCCATTTGATCGATGGCAATCTTCTTTATTCTTACTCGATAATTTCTTTGGTTTTGAGGTTAGAAATTGAAAGATTATTTTGTTATAATTGTTTTTTTTTATCGATTAATTATTTAATAATTACAATTATATTTTTATTTTGATTAGATGCCAATTCCTTTATCTCCGATAATTCAGGTAAATTTTACATTGGTCGAGACTCAGCTTTTATTCTCATATCCTCAAAAAATTTTGTTGCTTTGTATATATATATATATATATATTAGGAAATTGGACCGGTTTTACCAGATTATTATCCTCCATTAACGCCGGATATCGAGAAATTCCTTACGTTGCACAAACGTACAATGTTTGTAGCACTAGGATCATTCTTATTCTTAACACCTGAAAATAATGCAAAATTATTACAATCTATCATTGAAGCCACTGAAAATGGAATTGTTGACGGAGTTATTTGGGCAAATATTGTAAAGAATCGAGAATCATTTCCTCCCAGTATAACTCTTTCAAATGGTAGAATTATTTCCACTTCCGATATATTTGAAAACAAGAATCCAAATATTCACATGGCATCATTTGCACCTCAATTTGCCATATTAAATCATACTAATACAAAACTTTTCCTAAGTCATTCTGGGGCAGGAAGTGCTCACGAATCATTATATACAGGAACACCTATACTCGCATTACCAATTACTTTTGATCAACCTGGTAATGCCGAAAAATTGGAATTGGCTGGTGTAGCTTTAACATTAGATAAGCTTAATCTAGACGTGAATGATATATTAGATAAAATTAAACGAATTCAAAATGATGAACAAATACAAAGTAGTTTAAGAAGGATTAAAACTTTAGCCATTATTAATAGTAATAGAAAATATAGGGCTGCAGATTTAATCGAATTCACCTTACATTCTTCAGCATTGAACCAAAAGAATATAAATGATGATAATAAATTTGATGATAAATTGATATTTAAAGATCTTATTACTCCAGATACTAGGATGGGTTTCATTAAGGGAAAATATTTGGATGTTTACGCTACCGCTTTAGTAATTTTCGTTAGTATTTTATATGGAATTCTTCGAGGTCTTTATATAATTGGAAAATTAATTTACGTGAAATTATTTAAAAATGAAGATAAAGAAAAGAAAGAATAATGAGAACAAATTTAAATTTTTTTCTAACATTTTTAATATCAATATTTCATGTACCTTTGATCTATTTTACATTTTTTATTAAATAATTTTTAGCTTCAGTTCATCAATTAGTATTTTTTAAATATGATTTCGGTATACACAACGTCCTTAGAATGTTTTTCATATTGTCACGTGGACGTTAATTTGTCGGTGACGTAACTCAAACTTCATTTAAAAAGGAATAGGGCGTTGTATTAATCACGTGACATCGTGACGCTGTGATGAAAATTATTTTGACTTCCTATACTTTGTCCGGAAGGAGTGAAGGACAATATATGTCTACGCACTATTAAAAAAAAATCGATCACATGAATTTCTCTGTCCGCCACGTGATAGTCACCCAATGAAATCGCAAATTTTAGTTTTTCGCTTCGGACTTACAACGGTTCCCGTTTCCTAGTTCTGTATTCTGTATAAACGAATAACATAAAATTTCTTATAAAAAAAGCGTTGTAAGTTTATAAAATTTCGCTTTAAGTAGAAATGCAATTTTCCTTCTTGCAATATACCAAGTAAACTTCTCACACCTTGGAATTAGACATATATAAATACAAATACTGGAATAAATAAAATATTCAATATATATTATATAAAATTTATACAAATTCTTTATAAAAATACAAATAATGAAAGAATAAAATAATAATAATAATAATTTGTTTCGATTGTTATATATTATACAAATCTTACATATTTTTTTAGTATTATGTTAAAATAAAATATAAATACATAGTTTAAAATTTTGTTATAATGATTACCTACATTAATTAGTATAGTTCTTATTCCATTGAGCTGTTTTATCATTATCTCGGAAATCTAAAATCATTATAATTATTTAATTATTTTAATTTCAATTATAACAATAATTATGAAATTTACTTACCATTATTTGAATTTACTTTTAAATTTCCAATTACACTGGATAATTTTTTAGTATTATCATCAAAATCTATTAAAAGATGATAAATCGGGATTTAATTTTATTTTAATTTCAATTGTAATAATAATTATAAAATTTACTTACCATTATTTGAATTTATTTTTAAGTTTTCAATTACACTGGGTAATTTTTTAGTATTATCATCAAAATCTATTAAAAGATGATAAATCGAGATTTTAATTCAAAGTGTTCAAAGTTAATTTTACAATCATGTTAAATTATATTACACTTACCATTAGGAATACTAAAGAAATAATTACTATGGAATTCTTATAAAAAAAACATATCTTAGAGATATTTATATAATAATATACATTTAAAAATTAGTTAAATTTATAGTAATACCTTTTTGTCCTGTTTATTTATTTAAAAAAGAAAAAGATAATTATTAATTGAAATTTTTTAAAATAATAATATAGTCATTACATAAACATACCTTCACTTGAATTCGGGAATTGATAAATATTACTGGTATTACCTCGGCTTGTAGGGATATTTAATTGCAATTGCGAACTATATGATTCTTGGTTGCGTTTCAAAGCTTCATCTAGATAATATGATGCACTTATCTTTCTTATCTTTATCCAAAGATCATTTATATTAGGTCTTTTTTTCGGATCAACATTCCAACATTGCTCCATCAAATTTTTATATTCTATAGGAATATGTGATATTATTTTTGGTCTCATTCCATTTATTATACTCATTGCAAGATAATAATCATGCTTATAATTACTATACGGAGATTGCCCAAATGCAATTTCCCACATTAGCATCGCAATACTATAAATATCAGATGTATAATTATATTCTTTTTTAATTATAACTTCGGGTGCTATATATGGTAAATTTCCATAGATGGATCTTAATGGCTCATTTACTGGACCACAAAATCCAAAATCACATATAAACCATAAATCTAAGTATTTTGAATATAATATGTTTCCAGAATGTAAATCTCTATGGATTTTATTTTCTCTGTGAATACTATCCAGAGCATTTATTATATCAACGGTAATTTTAATTCTTTCTTTCCAAGTAAGATTATCATGGTTTTTTATTAAATATGTTCTTAAATCCAAATCCATTTGATGCATTACAAGGAAATAGTTTTGAGTTCGTGGATCTTGCGTTAGACCATGACATCGAACAATTTCAATCCATTTATTACTCATAGTTAAATGTGATTTTGCCTTTTAATTTAAAAATATTTCAAAAAAAAAAAAAAGATTTTATTAGAATAAATTAAATAAATTATATTTAATAATTTTTGTAATTTATAAATTACATACCTCATCAAACCAAGTTCTATTTGCACTTATAATATTTTCTAACTTTTTAAGGATCACTTTATGCGTACCTATCCTTTTTAATTGATTTTCTTTAATATCCCATTCGTTATATTGTCCATCTATCCATTCAGCTAAATAAATTTCGGAGAATCCACCTTTAGTTAAATATTCAATTTTTTGTAAATTATTGTACGGGATCCATTCAACTATCATACTTGGATGAAACGTTTCAGATTGACATTTCTTTATTAAATCATCAATATCATCATTCCCTGATGTCCAATCTAAAGAGTTTATTTCCAAATAGTTTCGAACGCAATGTTCACAATATAAAGTTGCTAAACATTCTTGTTCGCAATTTTCGCACGTCCTTTTTTCTCCTTCACCATAAAGAATTTTATTATAATCATAATCTTCATTTAATAATTGCTCCACTTCTAATCTTTCATTTTTCGTAAGATATTTATTGGTATTAATGGTTTGTATTCTGAATTCATGTCGTTTGGTAATGTTATCGTGGAAATTATAATCAGTTAACGCGCATACTTTGTTAAATGCATTTATAGCATTAACATTATAAATATAGCCCATAACTAATTTGTTGAATTACTTATTTTCGTAACTCAAAAAAAAAGCGAAAAGCAAGAAAAAGGATTTCCGTTTTATTTACGTTTATTTATACTTAATTTCATCGGATTTAAAACTCCGTCATTCAAATGGATTATTAACATATAATTTTAATACAGTAGTATTTTAAAATATAATTATTTGATAATCTTAATCTCATGAGTCATGGTCGATAAAAGGAAAATCTCATAATGTACTACTGTGAATTAAAATTAAAAGATAGAAAGAGTATATTTTTATTTTTGTGTCATTCATGGAAATATTCTTTATTTGTTTAAAAATGAATGCGAACGTTTAAAGTAGTTAGATTCATGTTGATCAAAACAAACAACTTTTGCTTTTAGTATGATCTACAACACGTTTTTCATATGCGTTTGTAACGAGAGTTACGTACTGATAGGGGTATTGTTTATTTTTCGTGTCCATTGTTACAAAATGTTACAATAATAGTATTCACAGTTTTTCGAAAACAATAGGTATTCAAAGGGATTATATACGAATGTTTTTCAAAGGGTTATACACGAATGTTTTTCAAAGGATTATATACGAATGTTTTTCAAAGGGTTATACACGAATGTTTTTCAAAGGATTATATACGAATGTTTTTAAATTATAACGAAAATAAAAAAAAAAAATATGACGTGGATTAAATTATGGTCTCATTCTTTATAATCCTTATAAATGTCATTCATTACAATTACTGTTACACAGTATTTACGAAAAGAGCAAAGGACGTTGTAAAATTTAGGTAATGCATTCGAAAATCAATTTAATGCAAAAATTATTAATAATACTTTCATTACAGTGAATTTTAACATTACAATAAAACCTTTTTAAAAACTATTGATGCTTCTTTCAATATTTCAATTTCATCTATGATAGATAATGCAACATACATCCTATAACTATAAATATTTGTATCCGCCGTATTCTTGCATCGAATTCTATTTTTTTGTTAAACCATGCATATTTTGCATATTTTCTTATTGAACGCAGCAGCATAAATGATATTTATCAAAACGGATTAATTAAATGTATTTGTTGTCTATTACAGTTTACTTTGGACTTATCTGATTTCATTGTTGAATTAAAGTGTAGTACGAATTTTTTTGATCTCAACATTATTCATTTTAAACTTACTTTTTATGTAAGTTGATAATGTCCGGAAAATTATTTGTTGTACAATGTAGTTATGGGCTTGAAATGTGTAATAAGTAGAAAAAATATAAAATGGAGATTTTTGAAGAATAAATAAAACCATTTCACAATGACTAACATAAATGAAATTACCAATATGAATGAAAGATTAAATTCGAGATTCAAAAAGTTCAGTTTCAGTGGAATTTGCTCATTTATTTTCTTTAAAATTCTTGCAAGTGTACGTTTCAATTATACTTTATTAAACATATAAAGAAATTTTTTTGTGAGAAAAATAATCGACGTTAAATATGCAAATAATTCGGCAATAATTAACAATTAATATAAAAATGTTATGATAGTTACGTTAATTACCTATGTGTTTTTTACTTTTTTTCCAATTCTTCTCAAATTTCTTTAAACTTAATCTTTTTCTTTTTGGAAACTTTGTTGTATTCCAAAAATCTCTTGTAAAAGAGGCGCCAGTTCATGAGATGAACATACTTTGTGCTTATTTGATAATTCTACACTAAGAAGTTCGGAAACAGAAAGTCCCGAGGCGGTTGGAAAATCAAGGAGATAATTAATATCTTTTCCGCTAAAATATTCATTTGAGAAGAAAAATTTAGCCATGGGATCCTTTTCCAAACGAAATCTGGCATCTTCCGAATCGCTAAAAGTTAAAAGGTCATTGACAAAGATTTTGATTCTGTAAAATAATTCGTCATCTGAATGCAACTTTTGCAGTTCAATTTTATGGTTCATTGTATTTTTTTCACGCGTAAAGTATAATAATAATAACCTTTTTTTCTGACGCTTCCGATAATAAGCGTGTTATAGTTTTAGTTTATTTAATTATTAATTCAAGAAATTGATCTAATTTAGATTAATATATTTTTTTTTGATTTTTCGATGATACCTGAATTATCATAAATTTTAAATTATATCATATACTGTACATGACATGTGATTTGTAATTTTAATTTTATAATAAATCTGGCAAAAATTACATGAACAAAGAATTTAGTAATTCCGGCCGAAATTATTTCGGTCAGAGCTAAGATGAGTAATTTTGGTCAAGATTTATTGATGACCGAAATTAAGTTTAACTAATAATGGAATGTTCATAATAAAGTAAAAGTTATTAAATCAAATTTCTTTTAAATTCACAGATCTAACCATATTTTTATTATTTATTTTAATTTAATAATTATATAAATCTAATATATCGTCAAAAATGATTATGATCAATATTAATTAATTAAAATAATAATAAATAATAATAAATTAAAATTAAAAAATATATATATATATAAATTCCAAATAGAAAAATCGACATAAAAAAAAAAATTTTTTAGACTTACTAAATAAAATTTAGTGGAGTAAAATCTGAAACTAAATTACAATCTCGTACGCGTGGTAATTATTTTATGCACATATATTTCCGGTTGTCAATGTCAAAAAAGAAAAGATCCACATAATTATTTGAAATTCTTTTACGTAATTATGATAATCAACTTTGATTGGTAAATCATTAATAATTAAATTTTATAAATGTACGAATTAATGTGAATTTTTAATGATGGCGTAATTGATAGCGTAATTTAATGGTAAATTTACAGATAAACTATTTATTATTAATTTATGTACAAAGTATACAAATTACAAAAGTTAATAAAGATAATTAGCTATAATTGTTGATTATAAAGCGATCTAAATTTTCGGAATTGTTTTTCAGAAAAATTTAGATTTACATATACATCCATTTATTATCTACAAATATTTATCTCTTTCACGTGTCTGACCGCATTTCATACCTTCAATCTCTACTCGTATTACGCTGTTTTCTGAATTTTTGGGGTACACCAACACAATCTCCAAAAAAATCTACTAATTTCCTAAACCCATCTTCACTTATACCTTCTGCGCCTCTAATCTTTAAAATACTTAAACTTTTAATTGGGTACATATAAAACATTTCCAGATGCTCATCGGTCATACATGTACAAAATTGAAAGGATAGTCTCTGTAATTGTGTTGTCCTCGTCACCCTCATATCTTTTCTTGTGTCTTTAGATAAAATTGCTGTCGTACTTGAAGTATCGCCAAGATTTTGTAAAAATGATCCGAAAACTTCAACGCTAAACTTCCAATTCATATTAATATTGAATTTAATTAATGATGGTGGAATCGCTCGTCCTATCTCTGCTAATAAATTTTCAACATTAATAGTTTGCATATCCCTAATTGAAGAATAAAAGGATCGAGATTGATACTTTGGATCATAAAGACTTATACGTTTCAAATTTCTACATGAACGTAATAAAGACGGTAGATATACTATTTGACTTTCATTTACACACGCCAAAAATTGCCTTATATTTGGACACATCTCAATAAATGGTTCTAACATGGAGTTCGAGGAGGGATTAGAAGTGACTTGTAAATTATTTGCAAAAGAGTTTGGTAAAGGAATTTCCGCGAACACTTTTCCCATTAAAACAACAGTTTGTAAAGAATACCCTGCCAAAGAAATTAATTTTCTATATAATTCAAAAGGAAGTCTACTAGAACTAAAAGTGATGGCCTTCAATTGATGAAATTGTTGTAATTTTTCCGTTATTTTAGAACAATTTCCATAATTCTTACAATTAACAATCTTGAGAACTTTTAAATTCTTACAAATTAATAAATGTTTTAGTGGAAAATTTTCGTGAAAATTAATTGATAAGAATTTGATTACGGTCAACGTATCAGATTGAGTTGTTAAAGATTCAAAAATTTCATTCTTAAATATTGTGTTGTACCTTCCATCTGATAAAAGGATTTTCTTTAATTGTCTTTGTGATCTTATTAAGCGAGCCAAACCATCCATTGAATCATCATTAACATTATTAACATTAGGGTGTTGAGGTTCGAGGCAACGAAAAGATATGTAACGAATATCTTTTGCCACACTTGCACAAGAATCAATTAAACCTTTCGTATATTCCCCAAAAAAATTACAATTACGCAATTTTGAAAAACTACGTCTCGCTCCAGGAAATAAAAAAATATTATCGCTAAAAAGCATACTCTTTTTGAAATCAATTCGATCAAATTTTGGAGAATTGGCAATAAAATGTTGAATTAAAAGTTTGAATATGAACAAACGAAAAGAGGATATAGAAATTGCCCAATAATGAAAAGCCAATAAAATCTTTTCACAATCAAAAACTCGTAAGAATGTAGCGTAATTAAAAGTTGAAATTTCGTTCTGTATGGGGACCAATTCTCCAGGAATTTCTTCTGTTTTAAGACGTGAAACGTAGGTGTTTATCAGCATTTTGCAACGATTAGATTTTAAATCTCTACCAAACGGATTCCGCCACAGTATTGGAATAGTAATTTCGCACCAGTTTCGATTTACCAAAAGACAGGAGTATAAAGAATTTGTATCATTACGGAGATATTCTAGAATTTCCCTAATACATTCAACCGGTAAATATGATGCCATATTAAAATCTATAAGATTGAATTAAAATAAAAGGTTAAAATGCTTAATTAATTTCTCATTTTTCAAAAATTGAATTATAATAATTTTAATATTACCTGGGTGTACTGAGAAAATAATTTTGTCTGAAAAAAAATTATAAAAATTCGTTAAAAAATTACTTAACCTATTTAATTATAACTTATACTGATCCGATAAGTCTATTATATTATATACGGTTACATCATCATACAATTTTTTATACATCATGATATACAATAAATATAACCAAACAATTCTTTTGATTTGATATAAATAAATTTTCCAAATAAATAATTTTGACCCGAAATCATAATAAAAATAATATAAATACTAACCTTATTAAGATGAAATAAATAACTTCAAAACTTATTTATTTTAAATAATTAATTCATCTGAGAAAATCATAAGATACGTCGTTTCCTGTATGGCGCAGCGAAGTTTTAAGCTAGCTGTTCTAGCTATAAAAGAACTAATTAAAACATGAAACATACAAATATAGTACGCCTTTTTTTATAATTTAAATTTTTCCGAAAAAAAAAAAAAGAAAGAAATGAATCAATAAAAAAATTTTTTTTTTTTTTTTTTAAGGAAAAAAGAATTATTTTTCTTTATAAAATATGAATGTATGCAAAATAAATAACAATCAGGTATATAAGGTATTACTAAGCATTTTCATTATTTAGCCGAATAAAGTCTGCGCCACGAAGATCATTAATACTGCAGTACCACCCATTTTCTTACACGATTGAGATTATAAAATCCGGAAATTATTCGTTCCGCAAGTCATAAACGTAGTACAAAATGGAGAATGATTTGTGTTACGAAGAACGAAGTAATGTCTTTTTGGTTGAACAAGGTTTTTTATTGACCTGCACATAAAAAGCTAATTTCTTTCCCTCTACCTGGTTTGAAGTCTTCCATATTTTATCCACGTACATATTTTAAACTTCAAATTTTTTTTTTTTCATGATTGCGAAAAGTTTAATTTGAGCATTTTGAAGTGTTACGAAGGATAATCGATTTACTTTGTGGCTAAAATGTACTACGCTGCATGAATACAAAATTGGCATATAAATAAGACGATACATTTCCGGATTACGTTTTCTTAAAAAAAAAAACTTTCATTTTTTTATCTTTATCATTTACCTTCTTTTTTTTTTTTATAAAAAAAATTACTATCCTTAACTATCTTTTTTTTTAGAATTTAGAAATCAAAATAAAGATTAAATAAAGAATATATACAATATATATAAGAATATATAACATGCCAGAAATATACGACACAGTAAAATCATTTAAACAACTATCTTGCGATTTCCTAAAAATATTAGATCAAGAAGAAACGTTTGATGTCATTATTTACGTTGGCGATGAATCTAGTTGTGAAACATTTAAAGCTCATTCAATCATTTTAAAAACTCGCTCAGAGTATTTTAGAGCCGCATTATCGGCTGCATGGAGTAAAAAGAAAGAGGATGGTTTTTACGTAATTGATTTGCGTGGAATGAACATACCGCAAGCTATATTTGGTCATGTGCTCTTGTATGTATGGAATGATTTATTTTTTTATTTTGTTGCTTTTTTTTTTATTTTTTTGATCTTTTCCTTTCGAAAAGTGTTCTTTTTTTTAATAAAAGAGAAATAAGATATTTAAATTCTAAATAATTCAAAATTTAATATTAATTAATTTTTTATTATTATTTTTTATAGTTACGTATATGGAGCATATTTAAATTTAGAAAAAGTAGGGGTTTCAGAGAAATTACAATTATTAAAAGCAGCAGACGTATTAATGATGGATTCTTTTGTAGATTATATGGAAGCCGATTTAATACGAAATGAAAATACTTGGATCAACGAAAAAAGTAGCGAGGTGCTTTATGTAGCTTTACAAATTTCAAGATGTAAAGAGTTAGTTTCATTGTGCAATAATGCAATACTTCGACACCCAAAAGCTTTTGTAAGCTCCAAGGAATTTTTATTTCTCCCACATGATTATATGGTTGGCTTATTAGAACGAGACATATTTGGATTGGAGGAAATTGATATATTTGCAGCAGTGATAATGTGGGGAATAAATAATACTCCTGGAATTTCGTTGGTAGATGATTTTTCAACTTGGACATCAGACCATATAGCAACATTACAATCAAATGTGATTCAATTACTTTCTTTAATAAGATTTTTCCAAATGGAACCCGATGATTTTATTAAAAAGGTTGGACCTTTAACTAAAGTATTCATGCCAGAATTATATGATCAAGTTATTGAATATCATTCGAACACACAATTTCAATTTATTTACGATATTTTACCTTTAAGATTAAACAGCACAATTATAAAAGAGAAAGAGGAACCTGCGTTAATATCATATTGGATTCTTCATCCTGATACTGCGGATGATACACCAGAAAAAAATCCTTACACGACATTCGATAAAGTCCCTTTTGATTTTCACTTGATATTTAGATGCGGTGGTGCAGAATTGGGTGAACAAAAATGGCGCGAACAATGTTATAATCAAGGACCAACTGTTACGATAATAAGAACAAAAAATCAAAATGAAGATGAAGCTGTATTTGGTGGATATAAAAGTATAAGTTGGTCAACAGAAAATCAAGAAATGCGAATCGGTGGTGATGGATTTATATTTGGTTACCTCTGGCAACAAAGAAAGTTATTGCTGCCCTGGATGTTAAGAGTTAATAATCATTTAGATGTTGACATGTTTTTAGGAGATGGTATTGAAGTCTTTATTGATTTTAGGCATGGTCAGAAATTATTGGCTCATGCTAATGGATTTCAAGATTTGGAAGAGACAATTGAAGAATTAGAGGTATTTAGGGTTGTTCAGAAAAAATTTGATGAATGACCAGATGTGAACGAATTGATAGGTTATACTTGTTGGAGTTTAGAATAGAATGAAAAGTGTTTATTATGAATATGTTTTGAGAGTCGCGTTGACCGCAGATATCAAGAACATTATTGATATATATATATATATATACACATTTTTTTTTTATTTTGTTTTTCATTAACAAACAAGTAATTAACATAACAAATACGGGTTTTGGTTAAATTAATTTTTAGGATTTATAAATTTGGGTTTAAATAATTACAGTGTTGGCTATGATATTTGGTAATATATTTTTTTTTTATCTTTATTTATTCTTGGTATGGACAATATGTGAATTCTAGAAAAAAGATAGTATTTTTCGATACAACATTAATAAGTTAATATGGTATCGATTTTTTTTTTTATCCAATTTAACTAATACTAAGAACAAATTCCCAATTTCGATCATTTTTAACAACATTCCTTATTTCATTTTTTTTTTTCTACCACATTATTATATATTTTTTTTTACGTAGTGGGAACCTAAATATAACCATATATTTCTCCTTCTTTGTTAATTTTTGCAAATAAAAAAAAAATCGAATGTAAATTATCCTTTTTTTTAAACAAAAAGAAAAAAAACTTCATAAATAAAAGAAAAACACATTTGCAAAGTTTACATTTGTCATTAACTTATTAGCCTTGTTAGATTGTTTGTGCTTGTGAATTTGAAACTTTTTTTTTTTTTAAAAAAAAAAAATTTACGTGGTTACGTTACGAAAATAACTTTTCGCGATTACCTTGATCATCAATTGCAGCTGTGATCGTTAATTTACGTTGCTAACATAAATGCGATCTTGAAAAAAGAAAGGGTAAGTAATACAAACATACAAATATGTGAATAAAATTATCGTTTTAAATCACGCTTGAAGGGAACGCATAGTAGTAAAGTAGGGGGAATCGGTATTTAAGCCCAAAGATTTAGTTGATATTATAAACAAATACATACAGTGCATCCCTTGTCGCCACCATTTCTCGAAGTCAATTTTCTGAATGCTCGTTTCCCGAACTGAAACATTTTCCGAAATTCTAATTTCTCGAATGTCTTGAATCCCAATTTTCTAAAGTTCAATTTCCCGAATCCCAATTTCCCATGTACTAAACTCCTGATTTATCACATAATATATGTGATTTATACAATAACGAGGATTAAGGAAATTATTGCGTCAAGAATTTTATTGTTAAATTTTTAAATTTATGAACTCACTTTGTATGTACTAGCAATAATTACTACGCAGTAGATCAGATGAATTTTCTTTTTATGGCTCTCACGCAAAGAAGTTTACGTATATAATAAAATTTTGTAATCAAATACTTCACGAAATGATATATTCGGGAAAATGACAATCGGGAAATCAAACTATAATCCAGTACATCATCAATTACATTAATTGAAGCTCCATTATCTAACAATCTCTCTAATAATTTATTCCGCTCCAGTTGCCCCTTTACCTACTGTATATTGAATACTCAACCAATCGGGGTAGAGGAGGACAGACAGTATTAAATTATCTGTAAAAAAAAAAAAATTTTTTTTTTTTTTTTTACGAGAATTTTCGAGATTATGGCGTAAACATGCGTAATTAATGTAGTATAGTATTTAGTAATCACGATATGTTTCATTAAAGGTTAAAACTTAAAATATATCAACAATATGACACATTCCTATATTGTCGAAATTGTCAAAATCAATATTTTAACACTAGCGATTTTTTTTTCTTACAGAATTTTCTTTTCTCATATTCTAAATTCTAAACTTTCGCTCTTTTCTCCCTGTTATACATACATTATCTTATAATTTTTATATACAAATTTTACGACACAGCGCTAAAAATATCTATGAGCTAAAGAAATGACTACTATATTAAAAAGAAAATATCTTTATTTATAACATTACTTCAAATTCATTACTTTCTTATTCTTTAACACATTATCTATCAACAAGTTTTATGAACAAATGTAATATGATTCCATAATAGATTCTTCAATTCCATTAAAAGACACTTGTGTACATTCATTTCCAAAAAAAAAGAAATACTATTATTTATAATATATCATAAAATTATATCTAATCATATTACTACCTTTTTAACATATCAGTTTCATACAATCAATACACATTAATTATTTTTTTAAGAAACTTTAATATCTTGTTACTTACACCTTTATTATATCAAGTCATTTTTCAATTTATATACAGCATATATGTGTATATATTTTCAACGAACCCACTTACAATATGTTCAATGAATATTTTATTTAGCTTCTAAAGAAACAAAAATATTTTTTTTTTAAAAAAATTATTTTAGCATTTCTAGACTGTTTAAGACGTGGAGGAATCCCGGAAAGATATTTATTCTTTATTATTAATATTTTATTAATTCTAATATTAGATTGTATATAACAAGTACAGTATAATCCATTTTTAGCTGTTTAATAGTCAAATTAGGATTTCACGAATTATCACGAATTTTAAATGAAAATAACCAACCATTTCTTCAAATCTGAAAATCTATTAATATTTTAGTTAAATCATAAAGTAACAAATTATGAATATTTTCTCAAAAATTCCAATTTCCAAAAAGCTTATTACCAAAAACACCTGCTGTAAAAAAATCACCTGCCACGATCAGGCAAGCCGAGTTAGACAGACATTGGGGTCTTCACAAAATTCGTGATTGAGATTATGATTGAGATTAGAGGTTAATCTGGTTTCACAAAAAACGTGATTGAGATTAAGCTTAATCTCAAGCTGATCGTGATTGAAATTTTATATGAAATTTCAATCTTACTCATCAAGTAAGATTAGAATAAGATTAGCATTAACTTCATTAACCTGGCAAATTTTCTTGAATTTTTTTTTTTCAATTTAAAAAATGTATGCATATTTTTTATTTAAATACTTTTTGAACGCGAAACTATCGCAAAACGCGAACTTTTTTTTGTCATTTTTCTTAAACCATTTTCTTTTAAACACTAAAAGTTTGTGATCTTTTTAATAAAAAAAAATGGAATCTACCCATGAAAATAAAAAAGATAAAAATACTGAGAAACCTATTAAAGCTTCAAGAGTCAGATGGACTGAACCTGCTATTAAAGCTTTATTGTCTTTTCTTCTTGAACATAAAGAAAAGCTTGAAGATTTAAAGTATAAACGTGGTGCTACATCTAATCCAGAGAGTGTTCAATTGTGGAAAAATGCTGAAGCTTTTTTTTTGACTTTTGAATTTGAACAATCTTATAGTGTTGTTCAAATTGCTAACAAGTGGAAGAATTTAGTAGATAATTATAAGGTTTTTATTTAAAATTAAATTTTCTTTACTTATTATTTAAATTTATTAATAAATTTTTTTTTATTTAAGTCTCAACTTGCAGCTTCAAAAAAAAGTGGCGGACCTCCCATTGTTATTCAATATAAAGAAGAGATTGAGGCAATTTTGAATAAGGATAGGCCTACATTAAATCCAAAATCTTGTATTGATTCTTCCGTACCCTTACCAAGAATAGAAAATTTTGATCTTGTGCAAGAAGATTTTGAAGACAATAACAAGACAGAAATTACATATGAATTCCCTAAAATTGGTAGAAAATATACAAATAAACGTGAAAATAAAGAAGTTGATGTTAATGTAGATAATCAAAGCAGAAAAAAATCCAAAAATCATGGAGCTATTTTGGAAAATACTATTCAAAAATGGATGGAGCAACAAGAAATTAGGCAAATAGAATTTGACAAAAGAAGAGAAGAAAAAGAAAAAAGAGATCAAAGGGAAAGGTCAGAATTGCTTACAATGAAACATCAATCAGATATGATGTTATTTGGTTTATTAAATAATATTACAGAAAGTTTGAGTTCTTCTCAAGGAAATTCAAATAATCAATCAGAAAAAAATTTACAAGGTATTTATTATTAATTCCAATGGTAATATTAAGTTTATTTATATGTCATGTTCAAATTCAAATGTTTGTATTGCATTCAAATCTTGATTTTTGCGTCACATTTAAATTTTGATTTTTGCGTCACGTACAAATTCAAATTTTTATTTTACGATCAAAATCTGATTTTTTATATTAAATTCAATTCTAATTTTAATTTAATTAATTTAATTTTAATTCAATTTATAGATGATTTGCCTCAATTTTCTTCAAATTTCATGTACTTGCAAAGAAATTTACAAACATCTTTACCATCTTTTGCACAATTGGATGATTCTGAATATAAAAATGATAGAAATGATAGCTCACGCACCCAATAATAAATAATGTAATTCTTTTAAATGTTTTATGAAATAAATTGGAAAATATATGTTTGTAATTTTTTTAATTCATTGATTTATTACTTAATTATCAATTGTATTTAAATATCTCCTCTGATGATTATTCCATAATAAATCACATATTGCATTTCTTATAGCATTACCTTCTGATGTTTCATTAACATTTGTTTCACTATTTACATCAGTTCCTGTATCATGATATTGTTCTTCTGGTGGTAAAAAATCGCGTCTTTCTTCACAAATATTATGGAGTATACAACAAGTAGTTATGATATGTGGTATTATTTCAAATGAAACTTCTAAACTCTGAAGAAGACATCTCCATCTACCCTTTAATAAACCAAAAGCTTGTTCTACTTTGATTCTTGTTTGTGAATGTTTACGATTGAAATATGTTTGTTTTTGAATTAATCCTCTACCTATATCTTTATAAGGAACTATTAACCAACTAAGATTCGGATATCCTCCATCACCTAATATGTATTTATTATTAAAAGTTGTTACTAAATTATTAAACTTATTATATAGATTAGAATTTACTAAAATTCTACTATCATGTGTAGAACCTGGCCAACCAACACATATATCTAAAAAACTTTTTTTATGGTCAACTACTGCTTGTAAAACAATTGAATAAAATCCTTTTCTATTAAAATAATCTACAGGAAATAGATGAGGTGCTTTAATTGGTATATGACTACCATCAATAGCTCCAATAACATTAGGAATTCTTCCAGTACCTTTGAATCCATTTGTAATTTCATTAATTTCTGATTCTGTATTTGGAAAAACAATTTTTTCCGCTAGAAATTTTGTAACTATTACATTAATAAAATCTCTTAATGCATAACTAAAAGTTGATTCTCCCATTCCAAACCTATTACCTATAGACCTAAAACATTCTCCAGTAGCAAGAAACCATAATGATGCACCAACCTTTTGTTCCCATGCAAGTCCAACTATACCAGGTCCTGTAATTTCTCTTCTTAAATGTGGTATTATTTCACAGCATAACCATTCAAATGTAGACCTGGTTAACCTAAAATGTCTTTTAAATTCAAAATCTTGCATATTTAAACATATTTCATTAAACCAATACTGAGATATTGATCTATTTAATCTTCTTAAATTGATGCACTCATTAATTTCTATTCTATTAAGTTGTAAATATAGCAAGTTTAAAGGTAAAATGTTAAAATTTTCTTCCTCTTCTTCTTGTTCAGTTTGATAAGTAGCAATTAAATTTTCTTCAAATTCATTATATTTAATAAGTATAATAATTATTAATATACAAATTGAAATTTGGAATTCCCTGTTCATTACTGAGAAAATAATATGTAATTATAAAAATTTATGTAAAATTTTAAAAGAAAGTACGAAAAAAAAAATTTTTAAAGCATAACGGTAAATCATTAATCTAATGTAACACAAAAATTTGTGAATCAAGATTGAAACGTTAATCTCAATTTCAAGCTGATCTCAATCCCAATCTCAATCCCAATCTCAATCACAGGTTTTGTGAAGACCCCCATTGTGCGGTAATAAATCAAGCATGGCTAGACAAAATGTCACCCTGTGTCTGACATTTTACCTGTTTATGCTTGATTTTCATCTGTCCCGTGCTTGATATTTATCTGTACGTGCTTGATATTTTATCTGTACGTGCTTGATGTTTTATCTGTATGTGCTTGATATTTTATCTGTCACGTGCTTGTTGTTTTATCTGTACATGATGCTTGATGTTTTTATCTGTTCGTGCTTGGCATTTTTATCTGTCCGTGCTTGAGGTTTTATCTATCTGTACTTTTGTCCAATTGTATTTGATTTTAATTTTATCTTGTCAAAAATTAGTTTCTTTGTCAGCATAGGGGTGATATTTTGTCAATCACATGTTTTTTAAGTTTAGCATAGTTTTTACACGAAGAATTTTTTTTTATTTTATTGGCTTTTTTTTATAAAACAATTTTTGTAGAGAATTTTTATTTTTAATATAGGCAAAGGTTTTTTTTGATAAAATTCTTTTGGAATTTTTTTTTAATAAAAAGACTTTTTTTTGATAAAAAATTTTGTTAGAGAATTTTTTATTGATAGGGAAATTTCTGAGTTTTTCTTCGATGGATAATTTCGTTAAAAAATTTAAATTTCATTGGAGATTTTTTTTTTAATAAGATTTTTTTTTTTTGATAGAGAATTCATTGAGAATTGAGAACTTTTTTTTTTTTGTAGAATTTTTATAATAGGAAAGATTTTTTTTGATAAAATAATTTTGTCAGAAACTTTTTTAGCAAATGAGATTTTTTTTTGATAGAGAATTTCGTTAAGAATTTTTTTTTTAATAGGAGGGAGTTTTCCTTGATAAAGAATTTCTTTTGGGAATTTTTTTTAATAGGTGAAAGTTATTTTTTATGGAGAATTTTATTAGAGAATTTTTTTTAATAGGGGGATTGTTTTTGATAGAGAATTTTATTAAAGAATTTTAATTAATAGGAAGATAAATAATTTCGCTGAGAATTTTTTTTTTTAATGGGTAAAATTTTTTTTTTTTTTGATAGATCATTTCATTAGTAAATTTTTTTAACAGAGAAGATTTTTTTTTGATTAAGAATTTCATTAGAGAATTTCTGGTTGAAAAGTTTTTTTATTTTTTTGATGGAGAATTTTGTTAGAAGTCTCAATAGAAAATTTATTGAAAATAGTTTTTTTTAATAAGGGTATCGAGAATTTTGGCTTGATATTTTTTTTTTTAATAAAGAATTTCATTAGATAGAGAGCTTTTTTTTAAAAAAATTGATTGAAAATTTATTAAATTTTACAATTTTAATAAATTTTTTTTTTTTTTAATGGATATTATAAAATAAATGGTTTGCTGGTAGTTAAAGCTCTGCATGAGCTGGCTCGAGCTGAGCCAAGGCATAGCTCACGCTCAGCTCGAAAATTAAGAGAGCAGAGTCCGCAATGAACTGAACCACGGCAAATATTGGCTCAAGCTTTTTGAGCCAAGCCGAACCATAATAAATCCTGGCTCAAGCTGAGCTGGACTTGAGCGGGCTCGAGCTGGCTTGAGCTTTACCTAAAAAAAAAGAGAGAAATGGCGTTAATGATGTTTTATAACACCATTACACAGCCACACACTCACCAAACAACACCTACCGCATATTCCATAGCCGGAGAGATGAAAAGGAGTGATGGGAGACGAAAAGGAGCGATGGGAGATGAAAAAAATTTTCTTACAAAATTTTTTATCAAAAAAAATCTTTTTATTATTGCCGTTTTCAAAATTACTGACAAATTCCGATTTGCGAGGTTTGATATATGATTTTTTGTATAACAAAAGTGAATCACATTTTTACGCGAATTTTTAATATTTTCATGTCAAATTTTTTTGTGAATCATCAAATTCAAGATAAAATGTGTACCAACGCAAAATTTTAGCATATATTTAATATAAAAATTTTGGACTTTTACTATGCAGATATCATTTATTATAGTTATTTATATATAAAAATAAAGTGAATCACATTTCTGCATGAATTTTTAATATTTTCATGTCAATTTTTTTTTGTGAATCATCAAATTCAAGTCAAAATGTGTATCAACGCAAAATTTCAGCATATATTTCATATAAAAATTTTGGACTTTTACTATGTTAATATTATTTATTGCAATTATTTACATATAAAAATAGTGACATAGAAAAGTCCAAATTTTAAATGAAATATATATTGAAATTTTGCCTTGATATACACAATGTCTTGAATTTGATGATTCACAAAAAAATTTTAATATAAATATATTAAAAATTGATGTAGAAATGTGATTCACTTTATTTTTATATATAAATGACTGTAATAAATGATATCTGCATAATAAAAGTCCAAAATTTTTATAAGAAATATATACTGAAATTTTGTGTTGATACACATTTTGACTTGAATTTGATGATTCACAAAAAAAATTTGACATGAAAATATTAAAAATTCATGCAGAAATGTGATTCATTTTATTTTTATATATAAATAACTACAATAAATGATATCTACATAATAAAAGTCCAAAATTTTTATAAGAAATGTATACTGAAATTTTGCGTTGATACACATTTTGACTTGAATTTGATGATTCACAAAAAAAATTTGACATGAAAATATTAAAAATTCAGAAATGTGATTCACTTTATTTTTATATATAAATGACTATAATAAATGATATCTGCATAGTAAAAGTCCAAAATTTTTATATTAAATATATGCAAAATTTTGCGTTGATACACATTTTATCTTGAATTTGATGATTCACAAAAAAAATTTGACATGAAAATATTAAAAATTCGCGTAAAAATGTGATTCACTTTTGTTATACGAAAAATCATATATCAAACCTCGCAAATCGGAATTTGTCAGTAATTTCGAAAACGGCAATAAAAAAAATTTCAAAAGAAATTCTATCCTATCAAACAAAGCCTTTGCCTATATTAAAAATAAAAATTCTCTACAAATTTGTTTATTAAAAAAAGCCAATAATAAAAAAAATTATTCGTGTAAAATTTAAAAAAAAAAAAAATTTTTAAAACTACGCTAAACTTAAAAACATGTGATCGACAAAATATCAACCCTGTACTGACAAAGAAACTAATTTTTGACAAAGATAAAATTATCGAGTATAGTTGGATTAAATCAAACACAGTTGGACAAAAACATCAAGCACAGACGGACAAAAATATCAAGCACAGATGGATAAAAACATCAAGCACGTACAGATAAAATATCAAGCACATACAGATAAAACATCAAGCACGTACAGATAAAATATCAAGCACGTACAGATAAATATCAAGCACGGACAAATGAATATCAAGCATGAACAGGTAAAATGTCAGGCACGGTGTAACATTTTGTCAATCCATGCTTGATTCGGCTTGCCATACTGTAACACCTGCTGTACCTGCTGTACCTGCCGTAAAATGTGGCATACTTTGTCAAGTATGGCTCGAAAATCGAAATAGTGATCACATAATAAATTTTGCATAAATATTATTACCATATTTACTCATACTAATAGGGCGTTTAATAAAAAAAAAAGAAAAAAATAGATTTTTTTTTTTTTTTTTTATTCAGTTAGGGAATATTTTGATATAATAAATAGTAATGGGTCAATGTATTGGTAAAGGTAAAAATCGTATATATAGTATGAACATTTGATACAATAAGAATTTTAAAATTTTTAACAAATTGACAATATAATAAAACTAGTTTCTGGTAGTGTTAATAAAAAAAATGGCTCTGAAGAATCTGAAGGAAGTACCGAGGAATATGAAGGTATATTAAACAAGCTGAAATATTAAAATACTTATCTATAAATAAACCTATATATAATATATAACTAACTAAATTATATAAAATCATATTAAATAATTTAGCTCGTAAGTTAATAGGTTGTTTTATAATTAAATAATAACGGAATTACTTATTATTTTTACTATATTCTATGTAACTAAATATACTATAGTTTGTAAGTTATCAGTTATTTAAATTTTTAGTTTTTTACTTTATTTATATTTACATAATATTCAAATAACTAATAAATTCTTTGTTTTAAATAACTAATTAATTATATTACAGCTGGTAAGTTATAATATTATATTTAATATTATATTTATTTATTAATATTTTACTATAATTTAACTAATTATACTCCTAATTTAAATAAATAGATTGTAAGTAATATATTCAATTTATAGTAAATACCTTTCTATTATATTTATATCAACTAATTAAGAATTAATAATAATTCAGGGTGTAAGTTATATGATGTCTATATTTCTATTATTTATATAATTTAAGCTAAATTCTTTATTTAAAAAATTATTTGTAATTTCTTTTAGTTGGTAAGTTATTTATTTAATTCTATTTTACTTATTGTTATAATATTTACATATAATATAAACTAACAAAATCCTTTATTTAAAAAATTATTTTAATAATATAGGGAGTGAGTTATTTATTTAATTCTATTATTACTACTTCTTTACAGAAACTTCAAGAATGGCTTAATGCGCAGTAACTGCATATATGTAATTTCTTTACAATTGCATAATGTGGTCACTATGTATTTATAACGCAGTTACCACGCATTAAGCCATCGCTACGATCTTGAAGTTTCTGTAAAGTTATTGTTATAATATTTACATATATTTAAACTAACTAAATTCTTATTTAAAAAATTATTTAAATAATATAGAGAGTGAGTTATTTATTTAATTCTATTATTACTTATTATAATAATATTTACATATAATTTAAACTAACTAAATTCTTTATTTAAAAAATTATTATATAGATGGTAAGTTATTTATTTAATTCTATTATTAATCATTGTAATAATATTTACATTTAATTTAAATTAACTAAATTCTTTATTTAAAAAAATTATTTAAATAACATAGCTCGTAAGTTATTTATTTAATTCTATTATTACTTATCATTATATAATTTAAGCTAAACTAACTAAATTCTTTATAAATTATTTTGTAATTCTTTTAGATTGTAAGTTATAATTTATTTATTTAATTCTATTATTACTTATTGTTATAATATTTATATATAATTTGAACTAACTAAATTTTTATTTAAAAAATTATTTAAATAATATAGGGAGTAAGCTATTTATTTAATTATACTATTCTTATTGTTATAATATTTACATATAATCAAACTAAACCAACTAAATTCTTTATTAAAAAATTATTTTGTAATTTCTTTTAGATTGTAAGTCATAATTATTTATTTAATTCTATTATTACCTATCATAATAATATTTACATATAATTTAAATAAATTCTTTATTTAAAAATTATTTTTGTAATTTCTTATACTAGTTGGTAAGTTATTTATTTAATTCTGTTATTATTTATTGTTAAAATATTTACATATAATTTAAACTAACTAAATTCTTTATTTAAAAAATTATTTTATAGATGGTAAGTTATTTATTTAATTCTATTATTACTTATTATTATACTAAATTCTTTATTTAAAACTTATTTTGTAACTTTTTTTAGTTAGTAAGCTATTTGATTAATTCTATTATTATTTGTTGTTATAATATTTGCATATAATTTAAACTAACTAAATACTTTATTTAAAAAATTATTTTATAGATGGTAAGTTCATATTTAATATCTATTATTATTATTTGTTATAATATTTACGTATTATTTAACTAACTAACTAAATTTATTATTTAATAGATCGTAGGTTATAAGTTATTATTTAATTCTATTATTACATATTATTATAATATTTACATATAATTTAAATTAACTAAATTCTTTGTTTAATAGATCGTAAGTTATAACTTATAAGTTATTTATTTAGTTCTATTATTACTCATTGTAATAATATTTGCATATAATTTAAACTAACAATTCTTTATTTAAATTATATAAATATATAGGGTGTAAGTTATTTATTT